TCAGCAGAGGCAGGTGGAAGGCTTTAAAGCGGCTGCCGACGGCTTTGTTGCGGTCTCGGAGGAGGTTTGCACAGACCAGGTTTACCACGCAGGCGATGATGCCGAGGACCCGGAATGTCCAACCTAGACCGATCCGGGGGATCATGGCGCCTACTGCTAGAGACCAGATGAGACCCCCCAGTCCGGAGCCGGCGGCGTTGATGCCCATTGCAAGACTTCTTCGCCGTTGGAACCACTGCGGAGTGATTCCCACGCTGCCAACGAACAGGAAACCCATTCCCCAACCGAAACAGACGCCCTGGCTGAGGAAGATATGCCACTTCTGCGTGGCAAAGGAGGATCCGATCAAGGACAGGGTTTCGAAGAAGACGCCTAGGTTGAGGACGAACCGCGTCCCGAAGAGGTGGATTAGATGTGTGGCCAGCGGCGCAACGAGGAGCGCGCAGGAGATGCTCAGACCACCAGTGAAGGCGTACGACAATGCACTAGTGTTGGGGAAGACATCGTGTGAGAGATAATAAGAAAGGAAGACCCCGTAGCTCTATATAGAAACGATTAGTCCTCAGTCCGCCAGGCATACCTGGCAGCTAGACATCGTACTTACACTGTTGATGCCCCAAGTGTGCGCATTGATCCAGAATACACAAGCGACACAGACCCATCCGTAACCTCCATCAGGTACATCTTGGGGACTTTTGTGGTCCCGTTCTGCTACTGATGTTGAATCACCCAGACCCTGTCCATGATTCCGTTTGTATAGAGGGTCCTCAGCAGCCGGATCTCGGTCATGGTCTCTTGAACGAGTAATATCGATCGGTGGATTATCTGCCATTGCAACTTTGGATGGTGAATTCTACACAAAGGCAGTCCAACTCGGGTCATATGTTTGTCACCACGACCCAATCGTACACATTAGGAGCACAGTAAGTAGAATCCGAACTTGGACCCCATGAGTAATCCGGGGAAGAGAGAACCAGAGGTGATCAGGAACAGCATGACCGATTTTAGCAAGAGAGATATAAGCAGAGACAATATATTTAGCCTAGGCTAATCTATCTGTTGCGGTGAGAAGGGGAAAAAATAGGTGGTCCGTCATGGATGTGACGCTTTCTAGGAACGGCTCGGCTCCTTGGCCATACGGTTTCGGCGATGTATCCGACTGTCCAAGCGCAGTCATTGGAAGACAGCATCAGGATCAACCAGCAACTACCGTGCCGATTAACCGGTGCGGAGACATGGATACTCTGTAGATAGTCTGATTCTTTCTGGAAAGTGGCAGTTGAAGTTGGAGATTAAGCCCGTGGAGTATCTCTCTAACTGGGGTGAGATTCTGGAGAAGATGGATCAGAATGCAAGGCTCGGTAGAAACCTGGTTAAGCATGATTTCACATCATGATACTGTACTATAGGCAGACGTTTCCTTTACATCTGCCTTCGCCAGTCATACCTTAGGCATCATGTTCATCATCTTTCATCCTCGGAATTATTTATGCGGTGCATCCTACTAACAAAGTACTATCCGTAACTCGTATTCCCACGAGGACAAATGTCCGAAATGCACTAGTCCTGTTCAGGGTTAGAGCCTGAGGTGTCAGTGGCTGACATAAGCACAACCCCGCGTTGCCTCGCGACGGGAAGTTTGACGTGTTTGCATCTTTGTTGTTGTGGTGGTCAAAGCTTCTTCCATCGCCCAGGATGAGGATATGATAAGGTAGCAATAATAAGAGAACTATCACTACTCCGTAGATTCCCTGCATTAATTACAAATACATACTCTTACTCTACTTGAACAATCCAATCTAAGCATATTCTAATCTAACTAACTCTTCATAACTTTAGTCAACCTAAAAGATCACTCTAGTTCATTCCATCCCTGTTATTCCAGCCACCGTCTGCGAGCCTATTGGCTCTGACATGACTCCATAGGTACCTTATCTACTTAGCTCCGAGCTGAGGGTAACAACTCATCAGAGAGATCTTCATCTCCATTGAATCCTTACTGTGATCTTAGACTTCTTCACATCTCAAGAAGCTAGCCCAAGATGATGCATATACCTCATCTTCCCGGCCATATTAAGGCCAAAGATGGCCAGCGGAAGGTTACCCCCCCGGGCCCGACTTATATGTCCAGCGATCAGTTCGGTGAGTCTGCATTGCTCGCTGACTCATGACATTCTTGGAAAGTTGTCGCAGTTTTTGACAGATTGACCCCTCTGGAGTTGGCAGCGTGATTACCTTGAGCTAATATGTGACTTATCTCCAGCAAACTATCTGAAAGACTTGCGAACGAATCGACCAGTCCGCCCAAGCGGATCTAGACCCATTCCATCAAGAGCAACCGGATCAGGTTCGACCCCTCGAGAGACTCTCCCTCCTCGAGCGTCGTCGTCAATGTCAATGTATGGACACCCCGGCACCCAGCCTACTTCGCCCGAGAGAGAGCGACCTCGAGCCAGCAGCTCTCTGTCTACCCATCGCCCATTCGAACCCCACGTCTCCTTGGGGAGCTCAGCTGGGCGCCCATTAGTACAGGAACCAAGAATGGTGCCGATACGTAAGAATGTTTCACCATCGCACGTTTTCTCGCGCCCGTCGCCTCCATCTCCCAATGCTGTTTATCGTGAGAGTGGTCAGCGGCGGGTAGAGAAGGAAGAAGCACGCTCCTTGCGGGACGCGTTGCAGGAATTGGACTTGCATGATGAGATCCGCCTCCATCAGGCTGCACAAGACGAAGCCACGGAGCTAGTCTGGATGCATCAGAACCCCGGTGTGCCCTACAAAAACCCATATGCGCCGTATCATAACCCCGACCTGGACAGAGAATCCCAGACGCCAAAGAACGCCGGCCGCTCTCACAGCCAAAGTGATAAAATTGGTGGGCCCATGGATAATCATGGATCGACCTCAGAAAGCTCTTCTGACAGCCGTTTTGCTGATGCTGGGGGGACAGGTTTAGGTCTAAAGTATGACAGACAACGCCAGCATGGGGTGGAGGACTCTGCAAGCAGCCCTACAAAGTCCTCGTCGCCGCGGAAGAATGTCAGAGTCGATTTTGCGTTGCCCGCCGAGGAATCGCCCTCGAAATCGAGAGGCGGCGGGAACTCATGTCTTTCGAGATTTGGTAGCGAGTCATCGAGAGGGATTTTTCGAAATCCTCGTGACTCGATTTACGAGGAACCGAAAGACACTCGTGGCCCCGAGGAGGATGAGCGACCGGAATTTTCCAGATCCGATTCGTCGGCTCTCAGAGCAAAGCCGCGCAATGCCCTACCGCGAGGCTCTCGACCCCTTCCGGGAAGACTAAGCAGTCTTCCGTTCGTTGACAAGTTGGCGCGGTTCGAGCTACATAAGCAACATCCAACCCAATCGAGAAATCCGGACTATAGGACGAACGACCCGCTCCCGCAAGCAGCCCCTGATGAGGATGCGGACAAAGAGCAGGCCGTTCAGGCCGTTCCTACGAAGGATGGCCTTGAGATTCGCAGCGAAGAAATCAGAGCGGCTACAAGTAAGAAGCTCAAAGATCGAAGCACAAAGCTGCCTATGCCCACAGCCGTCAGTAATCGCGTTGGCCGGCCAATCGTGAGTTTCGACCCGACTTGGAAGCCCACTGAGGCTCCGTCACCGCAAAAGCGTGATAGCCTGAGGCAGGACTCGGCCTCCCCAACACCACAACCGCAGCCTGCTGCCCCTGCTATTGAAGTATCCGAGCCGCCGGCGATACCAGTTATCAATGTTCCGGACGAGAAGGAGCCCACCATTTCGGAGATGGCAGCATCATGTCAGAAGGAAAGGGGAGGTACTAGGCCTCTGCCAGATCCAGTGATCACAAAGCGCCACACTCAATCATCTCCTCAGAAACCTGCGCAGTCCTCACAGAAGCCCTGGTTGTCAACTTATACACGCTCCGGAGTACCAACAGCGAAATGCGAGTCCTGCTCGCTTCCCATTGCAGGGAAGATTGTCACAGCGGCGGGGGCTCGCTTCCACCCAGAGTGCTTCGTGTGCCATCATTGCCACACGCCCTTAGAATGTGTAGCCTTTTATCAGGAGCCCGAGGCCAAGCGCAATGAGCGATTGGCGGAGGCGCCAAGTGACGACGAGGAGGCGCGTATGTTGCGCTTCTATTGTCATCTGGATTTCCATGAGAAGTTTAGCCCCAGGTGCAAGAGCTGTAAGACCCCTATTGAAGGCGAAATTGTCGTTGCGTGCGGGGCCGAGTGGCATGTTGGTCATTTTTTCTGTGCCGAATGTGGTGATGTACGTTCTGACCTTGCCCAACACTGCAAGTGAACCGGACTAATTTTGTATAGCCCTTCGATTCGAACACTCCTTTTGTGGAAAAGGACGGGTTCGCGTGGTGCCTTCAATGCCATTCTCGGCGCACCGCGCCTCGATGCCTGGGTTGCAAGAAGCCTGTCCTTGAGGACGTTGTGGTCAGCGCCGTCGGGGGCCAATGGCACAATGAATGCTTCGTCTGTCACGAGTGTGGCGACGGCTTCGGTCCGGATGGCCGGTATTTTGTGCGAGAGGGCGAGCCCAAGCGAACGTCCAAAGGTCGGATCATTGGGGGTCCGGTCCAGTTGGCTGTATGTGAGCGATGCGAGAGCATCCGACTGAAGGCATCACCCAAGTGATGATACTCAATCTAGGCTGCACCACAGCCTCGCTTCTTCCATCCGCAGTGTCAGCAAATGAAGTGCTGTCACGCTGCCATTCAAGGTTACGATCTAGAGTGTGCATTTTTGATTGATCTTCTCGAATTCTGCCTACTGTGTTTGAGATGACTGCATATGCAAGCAAGCGGGATTTACAGCGATATGGTATGTTATGCATGCAGCGGGTGCTGCAAGACGACGTTTTTTGGTTTGAATCATATTATGGAGTTCGACAGGCAGCATCTTTTTCAAGAATAGCATGTTTCAGATCTATCAATGCCATTACCATCCGCACTCATTCTGCATTCCGCGATCGCTTGGTTTATGCTCAATGACAAAGAGTCATGCAGGCCATTCAGGATCCGTCTTTCGCCGAAAGACAGCCACGTACTTGTTCCCCTTATTCCGAGCCACCTTCTTCCCTTCCTCGGTGGCCTCCTTCATAACCCGCACACACTCGTCCTTCTCCAGCTCCTCCTCCGAAACCCGCTCAAAGAGTTCCCTCACCCCAGCATTCGCATTCGCATTCGCATTCGCACTGGTGCTCTTCTCCTCACTCTCCTCCTCGGCTCCCGACTCCACCCCAAAATGCCTCAGAATCCAATGATGATACTCTTCCACATCGGTAATGGTGTACAAGAGCCCACCGGGCCGCAGAGCGTAGGCGTACTCAGCATTCAGCGTCTCGGAGATAATCCGGGCCTTGTGCTTGCGGGCCTTGAAGTGCGGGTCCGGGAAGCAAATGAAAATCTTGGAAAGTTGGTGGCGGGCGAAGAAATTAGGGAAGAATTTCATGGTGTTGCTGCGGATTGCGGAGATGTTTTCGTAGGAGCCCGGGACGAGAGTGGTAGGCGTGTGCTCGGTGTCAGTTGAGAGGACGGGCGACGCTGCATCTGCAGCTGCGTTTGCGTTTGCTTGTTTCCCGTCTATCTGAGCTTGCTGCTGAGACGGAGTTTCCGACGCTGCTGTCGCGGCTGCAGTCGCAGCCCTGAGCTTAAGCTGCTGGGCCCGGAGGGCTTGGATGCGCGTCGTCACGTATTCGAGGACCGAGACGCGGATCTCCATGCCTGATTTCCATGCTCTGTTAGCACTACCCTTTCAGCGCGTGTGTATATGTCCGTATCCTACCGACTATCAACGACTCCGGCAGCAGAGGCGCAAGCCCAATGAGTAACCCGCCAAAACCACACCCGATATCCACGACCTCCACATCCTTCAGGAGCTTCCGGGCCCCGGCGAGGTTGGTATGCGACGGGTCCGGATCCACAAAGGCAGGGTAATGCGATGACCAGTCCATGTGCGCCGGGCTGAGGGGGCTGTAATCACACATTAGCGACGGATAGTGTCAGTAGAGATGTGCGTGGGGACATACTAATTCAGATGGTGGTCCGAGAAGGGGTTTGCGTGCGCCCGCTGGCGATAGTACTTTTTCTTGGGCAGCTTGATCTCCGCGACGTCGCTGGGGCCGGGTTGTGAGGCGGCCTCTGCTGTTGCTTTGCGGTATTCATCCCGCTTTTGGCGTTTGGGCGGGGGTGGTGTCATGGTTGTAACTCTGTTCTGGGATTGATTTATGATTTCGAGTGAAGAATGTCCCTTACAAAGGGGGTTAGGAGTGTGACGGGCAATTGCAATCCCCGATAGAGAAATATTCGTGCAATGGCCGGAGGTGTGCTGGCGGAGGATCGGACTTTTTTCCCTGAGCGGAAGCGTGACGTCCGTCAGAATGTCGGAGGTGAGCTTGGCGGAGTAAGAGTACACCTCCAAATAGAAACCCCACACAGCTCGATTGCTCTCTTCGTTTTGTCAAATATCTCTTTTTGTCAAATCATATTGTCCATTCAACTTCCTGCAAAGTAATGCACAGTCCTTCATAGAATAACCTCACCATCGTCCCACCAGCAATCCTCCATACCGTACCGCAACCAACCCCCGCATCCGCAGTGTCAATATCGGCCTCAGTATGTCAACGGCTCCTCCCACAGCATAACCACAATCATACTAACCATATCTCCAGTTCCCGGCCGGAAACGAAAAAGATGTCTCAGACTCAGTCTCACCCCACAACAACCTTCCAATTCCCACCAACCTACTCCTTCCCCCCGTTCTTCACCCCCCAACCCAACAGCACAACCCGCCTCTCCCAGCTGCAGAAATGGTCCTCGCTCATCCAATCCTGGTGCCGCCATTATCGCATCTACCGCCTCTCGCTGATTGAAGCGATCGAGAGCCCGCTCTTCCATAATGCTACGCTGCGGAAACGGTTAAGTCTGAGCGAGGCCAGGGCTGTATTGGATTGGATGGCCAAACCCGAAGAGGAAGGGGGTGGCGGGAGGCGGGCAGAATGGATCGATGGGGGAAGTAAGTCGGTGGCCTGGATTTGGTGGAGGAGACCGGAGGAGTGGGCGGGGATTGTGGCAGATTGGGTGAGTACTTCCGTTTCCTCTGCTTGTTGGCTAGCTTGCTGATGGTCGATTCTAGGTGGAAGCGACAGGGCAGAAGAATGTTGTCCTGACGGTGTACGAGCTGCTGGATGGGGAGGCTACAATGTCGCAAGGTATGGTTATGCTTCTGTCCTTCAGGAAGTCGTCGCTGACATCTTCTAGAATGGCATGGTATGGATGCAGACGTGATGCTCAAGTCTCTGAACGTTCTTGTAAAACGCGGCAAGGCCCAGGTTTTCGGCAGTGAAGGCCAGGAAGGTGTCAAGTTTTTCTGAACCGAACTCGTCTTGAAACGCCAAAGTCAAATTCTGGAGCTGCATGACTATTTGCACAGAGCTGCTAATCCCATATAACTAAAGAGCCAGACATTGATCCATCATATCCATGTACAAGGTAAGTTCCCGAGAAACACCGGCTTGGCTATGCAGCAAACCTAACACCAAGACCAGGCAGACGCCCTGTCTAGGGATCGCCCTGGTCAACCATGTCTTCCTTCAGCTCATATCCCTCAGCCGTACGCAGCTCCTGGGACATGGCAATGTCCAGAAGCCAGTCCACGCGCACAATTCGTGGTGTCTTGCTCATGCTCTGTGCCAGTTGTGAAAATCGTGGCCAGAGCTTCTGATGTTCGGGCGATACACTGCTAAGAAGGTAGACCTCTTTACGACTTAGGTCATCCTCCCCTGAGCTATCGTCTTCGCTCTCTTCCCGCTGCGAGTGGTAGGAGACCCTTCCGCGGAAAAGGGTGCAGGTCCCTCCATTGACATCCACAATGGACTTGAACGCTTCAAATCCTCCACGGATGGACTCAACACAATAGATTTGATAGCCCTGCAGGAGCTTGTTCTTGTTCTTCTTCGCCTTGGCCCTCGCTTTTTCTAGAGAGAAGCCGAACCTCTTTTCGGCGGCTTTGTCCACCAAGGGGAAGTCGTCAGGGTTCAGAAGCTCATTCTTCTTGAGGCACTCCGTGATGAACTCAATGTTCACTATCGCAGGACCGTATGCCAGTGCGTTGACGAATTTGGGGGTCCGCAGTATAGATGGGGCGGCGAGATGTGTGCATCTTCGTGCATCTTGCACAACCATGATTCCAAGATCGCGAAGTTGGCGCTGATCATCGTTAGCTCCTTGCCAAACATGGGCTGGTGCATATAGTTAAATATGAATTGGCAACATACCTTGTCTGCATCCTCTTTCTTCAAATTGCCCACCCACTTCTGATATCCAGTAATAAGGAGGTGCATGGCAATAGGAGGTTTCGACTTCTTTTGTCTCTTCGCCCCGGTCGCATTGTCTTCGTCACTTTCTTCCTGCGGTTCTACGGATCTGCGTTTCTTGGCGTTGTTTAGCACAACTCTGTCGTCGTCGCTCTTTCTTCGCCCGCCATAGATCACACCTCCGACTCGCTTCTTTTCCTTCTCGTACAAGGCGATATCTGGTGCGAGTTCCTGGAGTCGATTGAAAGCCGCTTCCTTTGACTTGCGACTGCTCGTTGAAGACGGTGTGTCGTTCTCTTTGCCCTCCGACTCCAAGCGAGCACGTGCGGGCGTCTGTGGCTTCTTGTTTTCTGAAATTTGACGTGACTTGTCAGCTGCTCGCGGTGTCGCAGTCTCAGCATCGACGGTCTTGACTGTAGGTGGCTGCATAGCGCTTGATGTCTTTCCGGCATCGGCATTCTGGTCTTTGGTCTGCATTGCTCGTCGAGGGCTATCTGATGATTGAGTTGTGCTCTCCAAAGAAGAAAAGAAGTGGCTCTCTAGCACAGATCTGTCCAGGCGTGTCTGACCGACCACCTCTCCTAGATTCGTCCGCTTAGGAAAGTGAGTATAGCGGGGATCAGATACCGGTTGCATCTTCCACTTAGCATAGCTTTCCTCCAACCAGAGGTGATTCACAACGTGCAACCCCCATTCTTTTGCAGCAGCGCATTTCTCACTGTTGCCATGGGCGGTCACTAGATGCGTGTTTTCCTGCTTTAGTGTCTTGGTACACTCTGCGCCCGCGGCTGCGATCAAATTCTCTAGGTAGATTCTCGCTTCGCCGACATAATTGGACAGACTGATTTTGAGCCCTTCAAACCCGGGTATTCCAACGCGCGAGATGGGGTAGTGTAACATCCGTCGTAGCGGCGAGGTCCATGCATTGTAGGTGATCATATGGTAGAGCCATGAGAGGTTTCCAACGTCCTTATTCAACCTTGACGCCAGGCGATAACCGAATCCAGATCTGTAACGGCAGATGTAGATATCCGCCTCCGAGACGTCTGATGTCACCCGGCCGCCAGCGTCCCTGATCACCTCGACAATCGTGTTAGTTAGATGTATGCCGATCGCAAGATCTGCCGAAAGCATGATCTTTTTCCCTTGAAAAACATCGAGGTCTGGCCGTGGATGAGCAGTGACGATAGACGCTGGTAGGTTGGTCGGCTCAAGCGTCGAGGCGCCAATGATATCACGATTTTCGGATGGTCGAATCGGCGCGTCTGTACCTGCGCGGAGGATTTCAGGATCTGGAAGAGTATATGGGCGCTCGTCGATTCTTCTTCCTAGTTTGAGGCAGTCATCGAACCTTTAGATGCGGTCAATCAGAGTTCAATCAAAGCTTGTAGGGTAACCACAGCCATACCAGTGGGGAAGCACAATCTTGATGTTCAGCTTTCGGGAAGTGACAATTCGCGCCTTATCGGAATCCACCGTCAGATCGACCAAGTGAGTGACCATACCCGACACCCTGGGACTGTAGAGGCCGCCTTTGGCCAAAACGCCGCCAATAATCGCATCCTTATCGCCTTCTGGAATATCACCGCACATGACGACGACATCGTTCAAGAATAGCCTAGGATCCGGGTTGTACTGTCGCGGGCTGGCCAACTTTTTCTTCGCTAGAGACGCCTGCACCCATTGCGGTTTGACGACGGGGATAAGAGCGTCATTAGCAGCATCAAATGCAGGAAAATCCACAGTATTTGATATCAGATGCGTGAATCCTTCTGTAAGGGGCGGGAAGTCTGCTGGCGGCTCGTAGATCATGGTCTCCCCGCCATGCGCCTCGAACGTTGACGCGAGCTAGTTTGAGAAGTCAGTCGAACCAAGATTGTACAGTCAACGATACCAAGAAGGAAATATGCGTACCTGATGAGCCGTATCAGGGCTGAGGTCTTTGGAGCAAATTATACAGACTTTGCATTGGTCGAAGAGCTGGAACTCTTCGTCGCGGCCCGCCATGGCGGAAATGGAGACCGCAGTCGGTAGAAAACGTTGGGTTTCTCTGTGTCTCTTGCTTATTTATTGAGCCTCCTGATAGACAACCAGTACAAGTATCGTGGCGATGAAGTAGGTAAAGCGTAAATAAGTGCAACACCTAGACGTTGTCCTAGCGACTGTGCATCTGCAAATGATGCCTGACGGATGCGACGCGCCGAACGCGAGGCATCACGACGCCATGTCACGTGACTTGTGCATGAATGCGATACGTCCTTTTTTAGAAAGCAACACGAGTCTTGGTGATAGTGATATCAAGCATAGTTTAAGTGTCGTATTCTTATTATTGGTTGCATTGTAATGCTACAATTCATTGATTCGGTCTTCGAACTTCGAGCCTAGTATTCGAGTGTGTATCCTGCGACGTACTTCAACACATAGGTAAATTCATACGGAGTAGAGATAGCGGGTTTTAATCACACGTTTACCGGCTAAGATGGTTTGACATCTTCCGAGTATTTTGTGAATTTGAAATAGCCACAAAATATGGTAACAAGTGCTTCATTCCCGCCGAACTGGCCCGGTGATTGATCGCCAATTAGATACACCCACTCGCCCCGGCAGTTGGGTGATCCGCCTTGTACCTGTTCCGTCCCCATCAGTCTTCAGCTTCCTCGGCTCATCCCCCAAACCCCGGCAACTAGTTCTGCATGTCCCCAAGAATGATCATGATAGTGGGGTCCCCGGTTTATCGATATGGCAGGATCGTTACTTGTATTGATGTCCAGCAATCCTTCTCTCTGCTCTTTCTTCCTTTTCATATTTCATTCTTTGTGGGATGATTGATTCAAAATGTCATTGTCATCGTCATCAATATCAGGCCCCTTCCGCATCGTGGAACATGTGGTAGAATGCCAACATATCAGAGAATATCCAGCAGCCACTGCGAACGAACAAGAAGATATACTGCATCTGGCTGTGAAACAATACGTTCCACTCGATAACCCTGAACCCCAGCCTGGCGATGTAACCATACTCGCCGCTCATGCCAATGGCTTCCCAAAGGTATATCTATGTACTCTACGGATCACACGCGAGCGCATACTGACTTCATGACCAGGAGCTTTATGAACCACTCTGGGAGGAGATATATGCGCGTTCCAAAGCCAATGGGTTCCGCATTCGAAGTATCTGGATGGCAGATGTGGCGCACCAAGGACAAAGCAGCGTGCTCAATGAGGATCTTCTAGGAAATGATCGTGCGTTGATTGTTATCGGGCCAACCTCTCGAACGTGGTGGACTGACTAGTTCATGTCAACAGCTAGCTGGTTCGATCACCCCAGAGATCTACTTCATCTCGTCAATGTCAAGCGCAAGGAAATGCCCCGTCCAATCGTCGGAATCGGCCACAGCATGGGCGGCGCTCACCTGTGAGTCTACCTGACTCGACCTTTCAAAGGTCAACGCAAGCGATTCTAACGCTATCGCAGGGCGCAGCTATCTCTAATGCACCCCCGACTCATCCACTCCCTGGTCCTACTAGACCCAGTCATCCAACGCCAAACCACCCAGCTCGAGCCACGACCCCTGTTCAAAGACCAGCTCGTCATCGCCAAAACGACCCAACTCTCCACCTACCGCCGAGACAAATGGCCATCCCGCAAAGCCGCCGCAGAAGCCTTCAAGAAGAACCCCTTCTACCAAACCTGGGACGCCCGCGTCCTCGACCGCTGGATCAAATACGGTCTCCGAGACCTCCCTACCGCCGTCCACCCGCTAGACGACACCGCAACCTCTCAGGGTAGTGACCGACCAGTCACGCTCACAACGACTCTCCACCAGGAGGTCTTCACCTTTTCACGGCCCAACTACGACGGGCCCCCTGGCAAAAACGTCCCGATTAACCGGGTCACGCATCCCGATCTGAACCCCAAGCACGTTGGCTCATTTCCTTTCTATCGGCCGGAGCCGTCCCGTATCTTTGCTCAGCTTGAGCACCTCCGCCCGAGCGTGTTGTATATCTTCGCCGGCAAGTCGGACATGTGTCTCCCCGAGATGATGGCCGACAAGATGA